ATGTATTAATGCATATGCATCTTGTCTTTCCTTGAATTACTTTTGCGTGCTAGTTTTATAAATATATTTTATTTGAATATTTCCAAGAATATTCGATTTAGAATAAGTGTACCGTCTTATAGAAGTAGTGTGATTCAATACAATATTCGAACGAATGGTGAACTTGAAATAAATCGAATATTTTCATTTATTAAATGATAGTAATATTTTAATTTTATTTCATTCTATTTGGTGATATTTTATTTTATTTTTATCAAGTTTAAAATTTTTCATTGACAATTTATGTTCTTTTTAGAAGAAGTGACAGATTATTTCTTGCAAACCTTGATATTAATTCTTGATATAATTTAATACTTTTAAATAATTCGGGAGGAATATTCTTTTGTGGAGAAGAAATAAAAGAGATAACATTCCTATTGGAGGACGTGTCAATCTCGATATTTCATTTTTAATAAAAGATTTTTCTCTGATAAATTATTCCAAATCCAATAAATGGATCATATTAATTATTGATGTGAATTCATAATGTCCATCATTTATGATAATGTGTAAGTGACTAAGTATCAATTTTGGGCGTTGTAGGGTGCGTAGTCGTCCCAACGCGTAATCGACTCCCGAACTTAAAAAGAATCTTTGACAAGCGCAAATCAGTTTTTTGTCTTAAAAATGATTTTTCTTAAAATTATTTTAAATGACGTTTTTAGTTATTCGACATACTTAGCCCAAAGGTCGATGGTGACTCCAATTCAAAACAATTCAAAACAAAAAAAATCCCAATTTCCTTTAAATAAGTCATAATTGTTTTTTTAATATAAAAATTGTTTGAAAAAAAATAGTTATGACACATGACATGATCCAAAATTTAACTAGTTCTGAAAATCGATCCAAGAGCATTCCAGTCGGAGAGATATGTCTCTTGTCACAGTTTTGGACTATCAGGACTCAAACAGATGCCACGACAAGGCGTGATGGTCGGATACACGTGTCGGATGGCGTTTCTCAAGAGACACAAGAGTATAGTCAAACCCGAAGCACTGAATTCGACATTGATCAACATTGTGCATCACTTTCATCTGAGGGATGAATTTAGATTCATAGATGTTGATAGAAGAATGGTGGTTGTGAACTACTACAAATACTAAGTGTGGGAAGTGTTCAAAGAGTTCTATAGGAGGGTGGCTACATATGTGGTTGATTGGAAAGATGATCAAAATGCAGGGTCCAAGGATCGAGCCCCTGGGCTAGGGGCTAAACCGGTAGAACCGGATGATTGGTCGAGTCGGTTTTGTGAGGTTACGGACACTGGGCTAAAAGATATGGTGTTGCAGAACTTTGGTGACCCAGAAAATTCCCTTCTGCCATGGCAGACTGCAGATAATGAAATAACAAGGTTATTGTAATAAACTGTGTTTTTTCTTCTTTAATGATACAAAATTTATATAGAAAATGTATCTTCTGCGCACATAACATGTTAGGATTTTGAATAAATTATATGGATGGTTGCTTGTGTTTTCGGTTCATTTGATTTGTTCACTGGTTCAAAAAAAAGAGTGGTTTTTGTTCCTTATATTATCGATTCATTCGATTTTAGTTTCTCGATCATTAATTCTTGTTAACTCATTAATTGAGGACTGTGTTGACAATTAAAAAATAAAATAAAATAAAAGGAGGAAGAGGAGGAGGAGAAGAAGTAAAAGAAGATTCTTTAAATCAATAATCAAAATCGAAGACGAAGACGAAGACGAAGACGAAGACGAACAAATAAAAATATAAGGAATTACCGGTATAACTTCCTCTAGAATTTTTTAGGGTTAATGTTATCGAATTATGGCTCAAGTTTTTAATTTCAAAACGTCTTAACTTTGTCGATTAAAAGTTAATTTTCAATTTATTTATTTTTAATTAAGTTGAAAGTGATTACAAAGTAATTTACGTTCTAAGTACTCTCAACCATTTAACAATGAACGTTCAATCACCTTTATCTAAAATCGTTGATGCTCAAATCCGTAATTTCTTGAAAAAATAATAATTCTTTTAACTAATGAAAAAATATAGTTCGTGCTAATTTTTAATTTACTTAAACCATATTTAAATAAACAAATCAAACTTTAACTATTATATTAGCTTAGGTTTAAAATACTAGATAATATTATCAAAATTTAAATGAATTGTTGAGAGGTTAAATGTACATAATAAAAATAATCATATCTAACTTATTATATTTTTAATATAAAATTTAGAAGGCAAAAAGACACATAAGGTACTTGTACTTTTTAAAAAATTAATATGATCCTCAAATTTAGAAAAAGAATCTAACATGACTTTTTAGCAAATGGTTTTCGTTGTTGATCGTTATAATATTGACATGACATCCTATAGTGTTGACGTGATAATCCAAATAATTGGTGATATAGTTGATGGTGTGACATATGAATTAAATTGATTTTTTATTTAGTTCGATGATAAAATTAATTTTTAAAGTTTAAGGCTTATTTGATTTTTTAAGGGTAAACTACGCCAAAGGTCACTGATGTTTGGGTAAGTTTTCATTTCATCACTAATGTTTCAAAAGTTACAAATCAGTCACTAATGTTATCGTTTGTGACAAAATGGTCACTGGCCATTAACAGCTGTTATCTGTTGAGTTGGATCATTGACCGCCATTTTGACTGGCTCTTCTTCTTCTTCAACCCATTCCCCATCTTATTTTTCTTCACTTTTCTTCTTCTTTCTTTCTCTTCACTTTTCTTATTTTCCTCTTTACCAAAGTTTCAACGGCACAGAATGATAAGCTGAAGCATATACCTGTTGTAAAGTATTCGGGGGCAATGTATCCTCTCGTTCCAATGACCCCTGAACTAACATGTGATTGGTCTTCTAAGGGTCCATACCTAGCCAGCCCGAAGTCTGATAGTTCTGGATTGAAATCCTGCAACATGACGCTTAGCTTAATGAATACTTTGTGCAGCGAGGATTGATGGAAACATCGTGAGGATGCGTCTGTGTAAGTCAGACGCATTAAAAATAAGTATCATGGAAGGAAACAGACTGCATCAAGAAGGACATTGGACGCTTTAAGGTCCCGATGAATGACTGGCCTTGCACAACTGTGAAGGTAGTCTATTGCCCTTGCTATTCCAATAGCTATTTTGATTCTTCTACTCCAGTTTAGCTCTGTATCATTCTCTGCCATTTACAGCGCGTTAGTTCCATGATTGTATCAACCAATTTTCTCTGGTCATATTAAGTTATTGAGCTCTACCACTCAAGAGATGGGTATCCAAGCTTCCCCTGCACATGTACTCATAAACCACAATCCTATGGTCTCTCTCATTGCAATAGCCCAGAAGTTTCACCATATTTGGATGATTTAATGTCTTTAGAAACGTCAATTCATTCTGAAATCAACAAAAAACATTCCTCTCAGATATAGTGAAACTGAAGGTGGATAACTGGATCAGAACCAAACCTGCCATTCTTTGTCGCTCTATACCCCTCTTCTTCCGAGCACCTTGATAGCAACCGCCTTGCCAGTGTCGGGCTTTGCAGCACTCATACTGTGTTGATTTATATATCCTAAATACACTCTTCCAAAACCGCCTTCACCGATTATGTTCTCGTCACTGAATTTATGGGTGGCAGCCCTCAAGTCGCTGTAATAAAAGCTGTTGACGTTTCGGCCAGGAACCCATGCAAGTTTTTTCACCCTTGAAACTGGCCAATCTCTTGGAGTCGTTGGGGAACCATGTCGTTTGCTCTTCTTTCGGTTTTCTAGAAAGGAAATAGAAAACTAGAACATAGTCTTAGAAAAGGAACTCTATTTTCACATCGTATTGGGGACTCGATTTGTTTTCGTACCTTTACGTGAATGTGAAGAAGCATCCTTGTTTCTCTCCTGGCGTGTTGCACTGCGTTGTTCATCTTTACAATGGTTTGCTGGATCATGAATGAAAAACAACAGGATGGGATCATTCATGGTTAAGACAACAAGCAATGGGTGATCAATAAAGCAGTGATTTACATTTAGAAGATTGCGAAGGACCAGATGAAGTGAAAAAAAGTGAAGAAAAAGAGAGAAGAAGATAAGTGAAGAAAAATAAGATGGGGAATGGGTTGAAGAAGAAGAAGAGCCCGTCAAAATGGAGGTCAACGATCCAACTCAGCATATAACGGTCTAGCTGTATTTTTCGTCACGCCTATTAACGGCCTGTGACTATTTTGTCACAAACAATAACATTAGTGACCGATTTAGCTTTTGAAACATTAGTGGTAAAAACGAAAACTTACCCAAAAATAAGTGACCATTGACGTAGTTTATCCATTTTTAAAAATAAAATATTTTAAATCTAATATAAAAATATTTAAAAAATTAAATATAATAAAATACCAAAAATAAAATTTAAATTGCTCAAACCAAATTCAAAAACCTCGACCGTTAGAAAATCGTATCATCATCTCCGTAGAAGAAGCGTTTTCCCTTCCCCTTTCTTTTTCTCACTAAGAAAAGAAAATGGCGAGAGAATCCCCAGAAGATTCTCAGCAGCCAAACAGTGCCGACAATAGCCAAAATGTCGACGACTTGTTCTGTCCCAGATTCAAATCCGTGGCAGCCATGGCTGGATGGGATAAGGAGGCCCTGGTCATCGCTAGACGCTAGTCTCATTGTCGAAGATACACCAGATCGGCAACGATATAAACACAATAATCGCTCCGATTTGATATTCAACAGCCATGCTCCACTTCGAGAAGGTAAACTAATAATCCCAAAATTTTCGTTCTCCCTTTCTTTTCCCGATTCTTGATTCATATATTTCTTCAATTTTCTCCCCAGGAAACGTAGGGCTCAGAGAAAAAACCCTGTTTCAATTCCAATTGCTCCATTAAATCTCGAAGAAGAAGAAGAGATTTCGAAACAAGGTAACCCTTTTTTCTGTTCATTTTTTAAAGCAAAAAAATGAATTAAATTTGATTTTTATTGAATAATAATGTTTCCCAGAGAGTGATCAAGAATCAATTGGTGTGGAGGATGAGAAGAAAACAAAAGTAAATGAAACAAATCCTCTTCATTGTAAGGATAAACTCAGAGAAGAGCTTTCATGTGCAGTAAGAGTCTTCATACTTTCTCAGTATTTATTAGCTTTGATTTGATTTAGCTTTCGTTTCATCTTCTAGTAATAATTATGTTATTTGATTGGCTTCATAGATTTGTTTGGATATCTGGTTTGAACCAAGCACTACTCCTTGTGGACATAGGTAAAACACACCCAATGTTTAATAAATTCAATGAAACTACTCAATGTTTTTAGTTGATTTTGTCATTTAAGTGAAACCCTTCTCTCTTTTGATTGTAGTTTCTGTAAGAAATGTTTGAGATTGGCACCGGATAAATGTGGGAGAAGATGTCCAAAATGCCGGCAGCTCATAAGGTAAAAACCGAGCTATAAGCCCTGTCAATGGAAGACTGATTAACGATTTTACCTTTTATTTGCAGCAATGGAAGATCTTGTACTGTGAATACAATTCTTTGGAATACAATTCAGCTTTTGTTTCCTAAAGATGTTGAAGCAAGGAAGTCTGCTGGTTCCTTAAACAGAAGCGACGGAGTCGAGTGTCGAAGTCAGGAGAGTCAAACTCGTTGCAGCACCCAAAGGACACGAACTCGAGGTCGAGTTCAATATCATGCAATGGCTGCTAAGCCTGCAGAGGGAGGATCTTGCGCGGCTAGTAAACACGAATACAAACACTACAAGAAGGGGAACCCTGTAAGGGTAAGCACCAGGACGAGAAGAAGAGGGATGCCGGGCCAAGATGAAGACGCGGCATTAGCTTTGAGGTTGCAAAGAGAAGAATTCATGGAGGCTTTCAGGGGAAGCAGTGGCCATAATCATCAGCAAGAGAGGATCCCTCTTTCTTTAGCTAGAGCAAATTTGAGAGCTATGGCATCTAGAGCCATTAATCGAGGCCGATGTTGATCTTCGAACTTGCGAATTACATCAATTTAGCCTCTTTGTTCATGAGGAATGTTACATTTTAATTCACACAAATTTGTTTCATAAAGAAGTTCAAAAGGAGTAAATCTCATCTTCTTCACAGATCACTAATCTACTGCACATCAAGGTTCTATATCTTACAATTGAATACAACAGGACATGGTTAGAATAACAGATTACCAACAAATGAACAAATGAGATATGATTATCCGGATCCTGTTTACGGCAACCTTGCATCGTTCTTGCTCTCTTTGTCGATCGAATGACACAAAATCGATGCACTGCTGTAAATCTTTTTCTACACTTGGAACCTTCCACTTAATAAGAGAACTCGTGGCCTCGAAACGAGATGTACTTCTTTACCCAGATGGCAATGTCCTCGGCACACGCCTCGGCCTGAGGAGTCTTTAGAAGCACGTCAAGGGTTGCAAATTCATGAACTGCATCCTTGTATTCGAGAACAGGTGCGTCGACGTTTACACTACGAAGCGCCTCTGAGTATGCAACAGCCCGGTCTCTCATCCAATCATGTTCTGCTACAATTGTCAGCGTCGGGGGCATGCGCTTCAGAGACCTGTCTGGGATAAGTGGATTGCCGGCTGGGTGGTCGAGGCTGAAGTCTTCCTCGGGAAGAAAGAGTTTCCATGCAAGCAAGCACAATGCCATGTCATAGAAGTAGGAGTTTGCCAACCTTGTTTCCGATTTTGTCGGAATACTTCCAATGAAGAATGGGTACATTAGGACCTGTGCTACAACCTTGACAGGATCGATAAGCTTGACAGACTCTATAGCTTTGGAAGCTACATAATCCGCAATGTTTGCTCCGCAACTCACCCCGAGTAGAACACATCTGTTCCAACCATGTCAAAGATTAAAGATTCGGCAAAATCACAATACAAAATTTTACGCAAAAATAGCAGAGTATCGATCTATATATTCGAGAAACATATTTAGATAAATGCTACAGCCAAGGGTCAACATGATCAAAACATTTACCTCAATGACGTTTTAGCCAAACAAATACGAAACAGAAATTAAAGGAAGAAAAGTGCCTGATATTACATGCACTTGAAACTTCATACAGAAATACAATTTTGAAATATAGGAAAGACAATCGACCAAGCCGCAGAAGCTTTTCGGGAAATTTGAACTTCTTATATAGAATAGTATAAATCCTGTAGAACACTAGAGCACGATGACAAATAACCCGAACTAAATTACTCTCGAAAGCTTCAGAGCAAGTCACATTTCCCTAATCAAGATGCACTTCGTAATTTTCAACCAAATAGAAAGAAAAGCAAACAATGTCGTATTAAATCCACACTCGATCGTCCCTAAACTATAACGCCAGTTCTGATTAAAACATTACCACGTTGCATCTATTAACATCGAAATTTAAGCTTACAAATCAAACTGCCATGATCAAGTTGCATTTTCAAGCCCAAATCATAAACTTAATTGATCTATAGACCGAACCGTGACCGACACATAATATATCTCCAGCTAAAAACACCAGTAGTAGAAAATCTAGCAAAACCATCAAACAAAATTATTGATCACAAAGCATCAACATTCACACTCGATCATCACAAAAGTATAAAACCAATTCGGTTTAAAACTTTACCTACATTGCATCTACAGACACCGAATAAATTTAAACTCACAAGCCAAACTTCTATGATCAAGCTGCAGTTGCTAGATCAAATCGGGAACCTAATCGGCCTAAAAACTGAACTACAACAACTGATGCATAAAACATCTCCAGCCAAAAACACATCAATAGCAGAAAATCTAACAAAAAACCATCAAACAAAATTAATGATCACAAAGCATCAACATTCACACTCAATCATATTAAATCTAACACCTGATCATCACAGAAGTATAAAACCAATTCCGATTAAAACTTTACCTACACTGCATCTAGACACCGATTAAAACCAATTCCAATTAAAGCTTACAAGCCACTTCTATGATCAAGCTGCAGTTGCTAGCTCATATGGGAACCTAATCGACCTACAAATCAAACTACAACAGATGCATAAAACATCTCCAGACAAAAAACACATCAATAGCAGAAAACCTAACAAAATTGAAGATCACAACACCCCCATTGAAGCTTGGATCAAATTGAACTTAGCTACCCCCCTGAATTTTCAACCAAATCAATTCATTTACAACAACAAAGATCGAAACTTTGAATGGGAAAAAAATGAAGGAATAGTAAATAACCTTGATGGATCTCCATGAGCTGCCAACCATGGCTCAACCATGGTAGCCCCTAAAGCATCAACAAGATGTCTTTGAACTTCGGCCTTTGTAAACTCTGCTCCAACCCCACGAGCCCCACTCCCCATCGACTTACAACACTCGGCTAAATTCGCCTGCTTCCCTAACCAATGCAACACTTTCATTCCATCGTCGAAAGCCGCGGATACTTATTCCCCGGCGCCAACCTATAACCAACCGCCAAAACCATAACATCACACATTTTTGCTATCCTCCGACAAAATACATCATTGGCAACCGATTCGTTGCTCCCACTAACCCAACCCCCGCCGTGAAACTGCAACATTATAGGCAATTTTCGACATTTTTGAGATGATGGTGAATAACCTCGATAGGCATTACTGTCGGATCTTGAATTTAACCCATCCAAACTGCTCCTTCTCGAATCGCTTCTCGGGGTTCCGATATCAGGCGGAGCATAACTGTTCCTCCGGTGAACAATGGAACCGGGCTATCTAATTGGGACAATCTGAGCTTGGATTTATTCTGCGATTGTTCGGGAGGGGATAGGGACGTTTCTGGGAGAAAGATCCGAATAGAGAGATTGGAAAACGGGTCAATGTGGATGTCTTTAGTGGCGACACCGTCGGTGAAAGAAGGATTGGGGGCGGAAACGGATTCTTCGGGTCGGGTCGTGACACCGTAAGGATTGGAGGAGTCGTCAACAGGGGCTTTAATCCAGCTTTGTAAACGCTGCTTCATGAGGAACTTGAAGAACACACTGTATAATTTCACAGCTACGCTTGGCATTTCCCTTAAATTTTTTCTAATTTTTACTACAAAATAATAAGATAAACTTCCTTATTTTTTTAATTTTTTTGTCGAAAATAAAATCTGGGTATTGATCTTTTCAACGTTTTTTTCTAATTTTTTGAAAGATTTGCAGGCCCGGAGATTAACAAAGACGAATTTTTTCCCCTTCCTCTTTTCCTTCCAAACTCTTGTCTTCTTCTTTAAGGTTGATATAATAAACTCATGGTTTTGGAGGAGAAAGTCTGAAACTTTGAAATGGGGTTGATTTTTTACATGAAAAATAGGCGATTAGGGTTTATAAAATCTGGGGAATTTTTTTTATTAAAATTGAAAAAGAAATTTCAATGGCAAATCAATTAGAAGGGTAGAATGAAAGAAAGAAACACGAGGATAGGGGGGGAAAGGGAAAGGAGGGGCCTTTGGATGTATAATTTGATAGGTTTACAAACTATAAAATTATTTTCAAGAGTATAATTTTCAAATAATATTATATTCTATAAAAAATTATTTATATCAAATAATTTTATTTATAAAAAAAATTATTTTATATTTCATAAAATAAATATCTAGAATTATTTTTGTGGGATGGGATTTTGGTGTACCTTTGTGACATAAAAATGCATGGAACTTTTATTAAGGTAATTAATTTATTATATATTTTGTTATCAATTAATTTTTTATATGAGTCAATTGCATCATATGTCCCCAAATTATAATCTTCATTTTAAATTGGTCATTAAACATTGGAATATTCTAATTTCATCCCCAAACTATGATTCATTCTAAATTAGTCCTTAAACTTTTGAACATTCTAATTTCATCCCTAAACTATAATCCTCTTTATATATTAGTCCCCAAACTTTTGAATATTCCGATTTTATCCCCAAACTCGTCCAAATATGTAATTAATTTCAACCATAGTTAATTTTTTTTATTTTGAACATTTAGTAATATAACTTTGTTTGACGCTTTTATTTACAAGGGATGTGATTAGTATATACATATAGTTTGGGATAAAATTGAAATATTCAAAAAGTTTAGGGATCAATTTGGAATGAAAGTCATAGTTTAGGGATGAAATTGAAATGTTTATAAGTTGGAGGACTAATTTAGAATGATAATCATTGTTTAAGGATGAATTGGAACATATAAAAGTTAGGGCTGATTTAAAATGAAGATTATACTTTGAGGATATGTGATGCAATTAACTCTTTTTATATTTAAAATGTGTTAAGATCGACTCTAGATCTCTAATTCCTTCCATCATTTTGTAATAAACTTAATGAACATGTATCATGACAAATTTGCAGCATAGGCCCCTATGTAATAATTGAGGTTTTAAAATT